ATCCAAGCGTCCACTGTTTTTGTTGCCATTGTATGTGGTGCGGCTGTGGTGAAAGGACGTGTGGTGTTTGTGCCTGGTAGATTGTGGATGCTGTCCTGTAGGTCGGTGATTGTGGTTTGTGGAGGAGTGTCACTTGCACTGCGAGGAGTGGCGGTGTGTGCTGAAGTAGTAGTGTTGTCAGCAGTGCGTGCTTTGATGCCCATGTCCTGTAATGTTCTTGGTTTCTTGGTAGCTGGTTGTGTGACCTTGGTTGCTGGTGCTGTTCGTTTGTTAGGTGCGGTTGGTGGCGTGCGTGGTTCGTGGTTGGTTGGTGGTGTTGGTAGGTCTGGCTCGTGTGTGAGATCTTGTTCTTGCGTTTCGGCAACCGGAAGCTGGTTGTTGGATGTGGTGTGACCTTGTGCTTGAAGCTGTTGTTCAAGTGCTCGAATCTTGGCTTGGGCATCTTGGAGGCTGGTGTTGGTGAACTGGCGGAAGTAATCCATGGTTCCATTGACCAAGTGATGGATTTTTGTTTTCTTCAACTGGTTTGGGTCTGGATCAGTGATTGTGATGCCTTGTTGATCACAGTATGCTGCTGCTACATCATCAAGGTCGATGTGCTCATCACGAAGTTTGACGGAAAGGTGATGAAAAATATGGATTCTTTGATGCTGCGGGCAAACACTATTGATGTGAATTTCCCGTTGGCTAAGGCGCGTAGGTTCCAATTGGACCATCCCATGTATGCCAATTCATGTAGGTGGACACTTTCGATGGGTCGGCCTGCAAGTTGGTACCTTTGACTCCAAGCTGTGGCTGTGACTTGGCGTGGAAACGTCAAGCCATACTGGTGTTTGGTGTCAAAATGTTCATTGTCTGGCTGAAAACTGCTCGGTAAGTTGCGGTCGTACCGCTTTGTGCCTTGTGGGCTGGGTGGTTCGTTCCACTGCTGGTGTTGTGTGTGTGTGCTTGATATGCTCTTGGTGGTGTGTTGACTTGGTATTGTTTCGAATGCCAAGAATCATACGGTCCCATGCTGCCGCGCCACGAGGTCATGGTTGCACTCAAACAACGAAGAAACGTGAAGGTGTCCTGATGATCGCGACAATATCTACTTTTTTGAGCACGAGGATTGCTATCAGAAACAATTCTGAAACAGAGATTGCTATCAGAGATAAAATCCAAACAAAATCCAAACAAAACCAAACAAAATTGTATTAGGCAATTAGGATTTGATGACATCAACGATGTTAACGCATGTGAATTTTTGAATTACAATGGTTGACGACATGTCGGCAAAACCCTTCAAACAATTGCAAACGGCTTGGTGGAAGTACACTGTACATTGGCTCTTTTTGCTGGTTCCGCTGATATGTTCTATGCCACGTGTCACTGGGAAGATTTCAAATAGGATATTATTTATATCACAAGGACACGTTATATTTGCAGGAAGGTGGAGATTCTCTAGAAATAGTAAATTCGATAAAAATAGCATATCATATGATAGTATAAATGGAGGTGAAACTGACGCGTCAGCAGCCTCTCATTTGCACATCTGTCGGCAGCAGCTGCGGTTCGCCAAACCCATCTTCATGCGCAAGCGTGTGCTGTGCTGGTGTGGAGAAGTTTGGATCAGGCTCAAGGATCCAAATGCTGGAGATGTGTGCTAGTGTTGAGTGAATGCACCAACGTCGATCCCGTGGTCTGTGGACTATGCCATGAGTGTCCACTTCTTCTTGTTCGGCCCATGTTCCTCCTGTGGGTACTGGTTTGTGTGTGCCCCACAATTGTCCTGTGAGGATGAATGGTACATGGCTTTTGCCGCTGAGGTATCGATGGACGACTTTGTGGATGAGGTTGTCCTGTTCCATTGTGGCACTGCAAAAGAAGCCATGAACTTTTCGGCCATCCATGGATTCAGAGCATGTTGGTAGGATTAGGCCATGGAGTAGGATTCCTAAGAATCCCGATTCGCTTGTGGCATGTGCCCAATGGTAGTAGGCGTTTCCTGCTTGTGATAGTGATATTGCGGTGTTGCGTGGCATGTTTTTTAAGTGGAGTTGCCATATTCTGAATTGTTGGTGCTGGTGAAACGTGATGTGGGTGAGTGTGTTGTTGATAGGCATGCCGGTTGTGACGATGTACTTTGCTAACGTTGTGGTGATGTGTTCTTCTGGTAGGTCGATGCCTGCTGGAAATCGTGTTTCCAACCATTCTTTCATGTCACGTACACTTTTGTCCCGATCCGATAAGAATCGGAAGTATACTGACGGTGCTGTGAGCTCACGGGCTCGGAGTGTTGCTGAGTGAAGGCGTTGCTCTAGCTCTTGGTAATTGAATATCTGGTAGCTGTCACGCGTGGGAGGTTCCCACGGAATGAGGACTGACGGATTCTGTTGTATTTGTCGTTCGATGGCTTCTTCAAGGTGATCAATTGCTTGTGTTGGCTGTGGTTCGTGGTAGTGTTGGTAGTGTCAAGTGGTGTTGGTGGTGTGTATTGCTGGCGAGGTGTGAGGTGGACTTGTCCTGCTGTGACAGTCGTTGATGTTGTGGTGTTGTAAGTGTTCTTGGACTTGGCGATGGACCTGATTTTGTCAGCCAGGCTAAGCGGTGGTGGTACTGTGGGAGGAGGCAGAAGAGGCGGCGGAGGGGGTTGTTGTTGATGAGAAGTAGGAGAAGTGGAGAACAGGTGTTTACCTGTGTAATCTGATGGTAACGGTGGTGGTGGAAGAGGTGGTAGTTGTGTTGTTGGTGGTGGTGGTAGTGGTGACATGTGGTGTTGTGGTGTTGTGTGTTGCTGAGAAGATGCTGCTGGTTTGTGTCCGGTGTGTGATCGATGGTTGGATTTGGACCTGTCAGTGTGTGAAGAATGTTGCCTGCGATGTGAACGGTGCCGGCGTCGACGTTGTGATCGGTGTTTTGATTTGTGGTGTCTGGAACGTAGTGTGGTGGATCTGTGGCGTGATCTGTAATGGGAGTGATGTCGTTTCGTCGATTTGCGTCTGTGTCGTCTGGTGGTGGATGATCTGTGCTTCTTGCGTGTGGTGCGAGATCGTGTACGGTTGTGCTTGTTGTGACTCATTGGTGGCGTTGAAGCTGTAGTGGTTGGAAATTGCTGTGAAAATGGTGTGGGAAATTGCTGTGAAAATGGTGTGGCTGGTAGTGGTTGAACTAGTGTCGTGGTTGTTGAGTGTGGTGTAGGCTGGTAATTGAGGAGTGATCCATATTGTGATGGTGAGAGCTGAGGATTGGGTATGGCTGCGTTGTGATGCGGTGGTGGCTGAAAACCTGGCATGGCTGTGCTGTGATGTGGTGTGTTGAAAGTGTGCAAAGATGGAGATTGTGTAAACGCAGAGGTGGCAAATCGTGCTTGTGTTGGCTGTGGGACGGTGTGTCCCAGAAGTTGTGGTTGTTGTTGTTGTTGTGGAATTGGAGCAAAAGGCTGTGTAAAATCTGCTGTGGTACACTGTGGTTGCATTGATTGTGGTAAGGTGTGTCCGGCTGGATAATGTTGTTGTGGAGTTTGAGAGAATGTTGATAGAAAAGGTGCTGATGCTTGTGCGTTGTGTGATGCTGAACTCATCCACTGGGCAAACAAATCAGCTGCCGTCATTGCGGGCTGCATGGTCGGAATCACGAAGCTGCAAGTGCTGCACATGTCGGTCTTCAATGTGGCCATGATGTCAAGTCGAAATTTATCTAACTCATGTCATTAGTCACCATGGCATGATGATTCATGTTCATGGCTTTCATGTTGCGCCATGTGAACTACGCGATAATTCATGTACAGGGTTTTCATGTTGCACCATGTAAACTACGCGAAAACTAACCAAATTGGTCTCAGTGAGGCTATCGAGTCATGTCTGTAAAAAGCCGCGAGCAGTCATGCATGGGATCCGTGTTGCAATCATACTACTGGTTCATGTGTAGAGGCCAAGGTTATGAGTGAAAAAACGGTCGTGTTAGTTAAACATGTAGAACCGCATGGGATGACACGGGATTCTTCTGAGGGATGAAAATTTCATTCTGGATTTATTCTGGCATGGACTCTGGATTTATTCTGACAAAGATTCTGGATTTATTCTGAAAAGCATTCAATCCCCTGATGGAGTCTTCTGGATGCTTGTGCGAACTCTGGATGCTTGTGCGGAACTGGCTTCTGGCAACATTATGTCTGGATTTATTCTTGTAACCTGGTATCCCCGGCGGACGCACCACCAAGCTTCCCCGGCACTTTGTCAGAGATCCGGGTGCATGAAAGACACACTTTGGTAAACTCCACAATGGAGAGGGTGAAATGAGATGAAATGATAACCGTCATGTCGTGTTGTTACATTAGCATGTCATGTCATGTCATGTCATGACATGTCGGCTTGGGTGGTTTTTGGCTTGGCCACCTTGCCATTTCGGATGCAGGTACGTTTTCACGACGACATAGATGGGTCTTCGTTGGCCCGTGCCATCTATGCGTCCACGGGCCCCCTGCTTTTCCCTTTGATTCAGGGTTTCTCACACACACACACACTCCTCAGCCCCAAGACATTCTGGAAAAAACAATGAAAAACACCGTGTTTCGCAACTTTTCTACTTTTTCACGCACCTTTTCTTCTGATTCGTTCTCTTCTCTGATCTTTCTTCTTCTCTTCTCCTCTCTGATTCTTCCCATCTCTGTTTTTTTTCATCTGCCCATATTGTCGGAAGTTTGACTTCTAAACTTCCTTCGATAAACGGGTTGTAACCTACTTATCTACGTGGAACTGCAAAAATCCTGGGATGTTCGACCCAACTGCTTGTGCGTCAGCAGGATCCAAACATTAGCGTTACTTTTTTTCTTCGGAATGGCACCAGTACACATGTATTCTCCACGTGATGAAGCAATGAACCCCGAGTGAATATGAGGCCGGTCTGAATCAGAAGCATGGCACAAAATATCTTAGCAAAATGCAAAAGAGTTGCAAAGGTTGCAAACGGTCAAGATGTATGATCCTAAGTTTCCAATGGCGGTTCTTCCCTCCGCCGAGGTGAGACCCCCACGGAGACCTCTTTTCAGCAGTCGCAAGATATCTGGACCAACATCCCTGGGCGCCGCTTGGCGCAAGTGATGTTAAGCAGATCCAAGCAGTGGCTGGTGTGATCTTGCCAGTAGGGTTGAAATAACTGATATGTGATATGTGCAACTGTAAAAATGATGGGGCAGATGATTTAATTTGCATTAATGTTGGAAATGTTTTCCGAGTAGATCTTTGATGGAATATAATTTTGAACCATCCAGAATAGGTTTTCATGATTTGGACAGAAATTCGGTGCTGAATTTTGTACGCCAAGAGTCGTCGTAGTGGAACTGCCACTAGGTTTCCTGGGCGATGAGGGCGTGGTGCCCCCAACGTCGGCCACACCCTTCTTCGAAGCGTCAGTGGTGGGGAGGGGCTGTCCGGCTGTAAATCGATGTGTGAGTAATTTTCGATCAAATACTGAGGTTGGTATTAGATGTTTGGCATTTATCACAAGCTAAAATCATTCGAATCTGTGAACATGAACTACTAGTAGGATATTTTTCCCTCCGCTTGCAGACATGGCCAGAGATTTGGGCAGGACTTTGACGTGTCGAAGGTGTTGGATCCCATCATCACCTCGTGTCCTGGTTGGAAAGCCCTGCACCAAGGCATTCATCACTCCACCTTGAGAAACACGTTCAAACGAATGTTCGCAACTACCTCAAAATTTCATGAAAGAGGTGGGATCTGTCAAAAGAGTATATATAAGCTGTAGTTTGGAGACCAGGGGATGGATTTGGTTTGTGGGGTTCTCAAGAGAAAGTGTGCAGCCTGAGGAAATGGTTCGATTGGGTCTTGGACACTGGTGTGTTAGACTTTCTCTCTAAAACTTGAGAGGAACGCAGATGCAAAAAGCGGGCGCTGCTCCTCATTCGATTTTCGAAGATCTCTTTCAAAGAGGTACCACCTCTCAGCTAAAATGTCTCACTGGTATCCAAAGGTGGGTATGCAACGATGTCTAGAAGTAGAAGTTTCCAAACTGAGAACAGTTGCACATGTTGACTGGTTATTTGAGAAAATAGAAAAGAATTACACATTGTGGGCACTCAATGTCGGTGCTTTTTGTTTCGCTTTTTGGCTCAACAGACCTACAGTGCTTGGGGACCCACGCACTGAAGTGGGCCCTTCCGCTGTGGGACCTGTTAAAGGCTGATGGGAGGGTGTGGAGTTGTTTGCCACCAACAAAGCTTAGTCAATGGTAACGAGCGGCTCAAGTGCAAATCTCAAAAGCCAGATATCCAGGATGAACTTCCATGAAAGTCTACATGTTGTTTTTCTTTGATGCCAGTATCTATCCATAGCTGACCCGCCAGGAAGTTGCCAGCCATGTGGCTCGCAGTTCCTGGACACGATGGGAGGGTGGAAGGATGGCTGGTTGATACCAGGGTAGTCCAGTGAACTAGGAGTTTTGCTATGGAAAATTGCAATCAATAGGTGAATAGGTGTTCATCTATACCTAGGTCATTTACCCTAGCTATGTAACACAGTACTAGGACGTACTAGGGGCATCAGTTTTGCAAAGGTCCAATCTCTTGAAACAAGATATGGGAATGGATTGAATCATACGAAATACCATATATGGGGTGGATGAACCCCCATTGGCCAGCAATTTTGGTGTGTACAGCAGGCTGTCGAAGGCAATGATTGGTCACTGTCGCCTACGGGGCCTTGATAAATTATTAGCCTATGAGAGATGTCAGCTCCGCTTGGCCAATATTCGCTCATAAGCTGAAACATCTTTCAGGCTCAATTGCCCTCTGGTAAACTAACATAACTATGGAAAATCACAATTTTTAATGGGTAAATCCACTATAAATGGCAATTTTCAATAGCTATGTTTGTTTACAAGAGTGTAAAGATGTTCCCACCTCTCAACAATGGATGTCAAAATTGAGAACCGAAAACATTGACAGGAAGCCTCTATGTTTGTCGGCAAACCATCCCCGATAGCATCACCAGATTCCAACCCAGTGGTTGCTGCTGGAATCGGTGGATCTGAACCACCGTTCAATAGCCACGATTCATGTTTAGACTCTAGACAATTTTGCTGAATGGAGACTTAACATTGTTGTACGCCCACAATAGTTGGTCATGTGCCCGTTAGTCTTGGTTACAAACTCATTATGGCTGCCTACACACCCACCATAATTCCTGGTGGCTTCCCCCATTTTCCGGTCCCAAAAAATAGACCCCGGATACACCACTGGTTGCTTCCCAATGAAGTTCCTGGCGCTCCAGTCCTTGGTTCTGGGCGCCAAGCACCTTGGTTTTCAACGAAGCGGGTTGTTGGTTGGATCCAAATGCAGATTTCTCTGGTGTTTAGAAAATGTATGCAAATGTACATATTCAGGCATCGAAGCCAGAAAGACCCTTATTTTGCATGTAGTTGGTCATTCTTTTTGTGGGACAACTGATATGTAGCCTCATTTGGGTGCAAGGTAAATGCATGCAGCGGACATTGTGAAAGTTGCGCATGTATGAGATCAACTGGGGGGTCTATAGCATTGCTTCCAATCACGGGGATAGGAGACCAATATCAGCCCAGATATGTCCAGATCAATATCACATTGCTGGCTGGATGATTTTGCCGCAGCATGGTGCTGACTCAAGAATTCCTTTCATCCCCAGAAAGGACCAACAACTTAACTGGTTGGTGGCTTGGAACATTTTGATTTTTCCATTGATCCCAATTGACTAACTCATAGTTTTCAGAGGGGTAGGTCAACCACCAACCAGTTTTCACAATGATTGCAGCTCATTTTGAGTGGGAATCCCAGCATCACCACCTTCACTGTCCCACCAAGGATCAGACATCAGGTTCCTGTATACCTGCAAGTCAAGTTGAAAGCTGCACCTTGGCGGAGATGCCGACAACATGTGTAGACAACATGATGAAATACACAGAAAATTGCAATTCATGGTATAAAATCATTGGGGATGATATGACATATTCATTGGTATCAGATATCAGTATTGTGCATCATGGTATACAGTATTGTGTATCATGATATATCAATGGAAATATTGTAGATATGCAGAAAATCATGATAGGGGATGCCCTCTAGAGACTTTGTAATACGGTATATCCACAAAAAATTGCATCCCATCCTGGCCACCAAGGAGTCCTTTGTGAGCAGTGACACCAAGGTGGGGTTGTGAAGCCAGGTGAATCTGTGGTGGGGGATTCGTCCCCAACTCCAGGTCTGGTTTGGTTATTTTGACCATCATCTCAACCTATAACATAATATAACATAGCTTTCCATTTCAAGATTGCTTCCTCTCACAAAGAAGCCAAAAATGGGAAAGGATAGATTTTCAGCCCTTTCCTGGCAATGATTGTGCAGGTTGGTGAACTGGGCGGTGCCAAGCTCTTCGATGCCAGTGGCAACTGTGGGATGCTGAGCAGGATTCCTTCCCACTGAGCGTTGTTGCTGGCTAGGGTAAAACAAGTGCTTTCCCCGAAAGCTCCTGCGAACGCTTCCTCCGAAGAGCAGCTGCCAATCGTCATGTTAATCCTTTTCTTATTTTCTCTTCGTCTTCTTCCTCTTCTTCTTCCTCTTCTTCCTGTTCTTATTCTTCTTCCTCCTCCTCCTCCTCTTCTTCTTCTTCTTCTTCTTCTTTTTCATCGTCGTCTTTATCATCCGCATCATAATCATCATCATCATCACCACCATCATCATCATCATCATCACCATCACCATCACGATCACCATCACCATCACCATCATCAGCATCATCATCATCCTCATCGTCATCGTCCTCGTCCTCGTCCTCGTCGTCGTCGTCGTCATCATCATCATCATCATCCTCATCGTCATCGTCCTCGTCCTCGTCGTCGTCATCATCATCATCATCATCATCATCCTCATCGTCCTCGTCCTCGTCGTCGTCGTCATCATCATCATCATCATCCTCATCGTCATCGTCATCGTCCTCGTCGTCGTCGTCATCATCATCATCATCATCGTCATCATCATCATCATCGAACCAACAATAAAATAAAGACAACAACAAATATGGTTAGAAGAGCCATAATATACAATAATGATATAACAAACCTCTTGCTTATCATCGCCATCATCTTCATCATGAACAACATCAACAACAACATCTACGCATCTATAGCTGTATGCATTTGCTTTTGCAGACGCATAAATGCAGGTGTTTAGATGTTGGTGAAAGCATATACTTGATGGGAATTCGTGCTGGCATGGTGGTCCAAAAGGCGGAGATGACATGCTTTAGGTGCTGGGCATCTAAGAGGCCCGCGTATCTTACTATGAACGAAACGGTGGGGTGGGGGTTGAGGTGGGGCTAATAACCTTCATTGGCACTTCTACGCATATGTCATGCTACGCTACTGTGCGCTCTCATCTTGCAGTTCCACGCGTACGTCATGCTATGCTACTGTGCGTTCTCTTGCACTTCCACACATATGTCATGATCTTGATCACGATGATGATTTTGGTGATGAAGATGATGACGATGATCAAGATGATGACGATGATCATGATCATGATCATGATGAACATGATGAAATATTGAAGTTGATTTTAATGTTGAAGTTGGAGACGATGTTGGTAATGAAAAGTTTCGTTATTGGTCCTTTTCATTTTCCCCCCGATGAATGAGTCTGGATGTGTGCATGTTTGCATAATAGCTAGAATTGATTGGCTGGCCGGTGGGATTTGTTTAGTATTCTGCGAGTTGTGAGCGTCATTTGTGAGAAACAGTTGTAAGTAGCAGCTGTAAATTAACCTTCGTTTTTCATATTCATCCTCCTGGGAGTCATGATCATCATCACCATCATCCACACCATTTCATGTTTTTTCTTACCATCACTGCCGTCGTCATCATCATCATCATCATCATGATCATCATCATCATCATCCTCCTCGACATCGTCATGATCTTTACTTCAGCAAGTTTGGGGAAAGAACCTGACCTGTCGTGTTTGTATAGCGCCTCTGTGAATAAAACAGTTCGACGTTTATCTCCAGCTTTCCTTTCGGGCCACGCGGTCCTCTTCCTCTGGAAAAGTTCTCGTTTCCAGCGAACAACATGTGCTTGTGGTTTGTTGTCAGTGATTTTATCCGCCCACTTTTGCAACATTTGCTTGATGAGGTTTTTGGTATTTTTTGGTTTTGAAATTCAGTAGTCGATGTGGCAGGTCGGAAAATGATCACAAGACTTGGCAAATCGAGGCATCAGCTGCAGCTCACCCATGTTGTATTCCTTGGAAGCGACCCCAAACAAGAAGGCGCCGACAGGGACATGCAGCTAGTGCTTGTGGAATGGTCAGCCATGGCCAGTTTTGGGAGACTCTTCAAGATGTAGGCTGGTTTAGTTGGAGCTGGTTGCAGTTGCTATCTTTGAGGTAGCTATAGTTTGGGATTTATGATTTAGAACACATCTTTTAAGATTAATATTTCATCATCAGTCGGGGTCTTTGCTACAGAAGTTCGAGATTGATTTTCACTTGAGCACTGCCAGAATCCAACATTGGCGTGACGTTGGCGATGCTTCAATATCATTGAAAATGGGCTTCTTTCAAAGCTAGGGTACCAACGGACCCATAGACTTGTTCATGATTATTCCCCACCTGCCAGGTGAGGGTTGTTCGATTTTCTCAGAGTTGTTCTCCTCCTTCTCCTTCTCCTCCTCCTCCTCCTTCTCCTCCTCCTTCTCCTCCACCACCTCTGCCTTCACTTCCATGTCCACTTCCGCCTTGCCAACTCTTCGCCAAGCTCTTCGCCAACTCTCGCACGCAGTGGCCACTGCTGGACCTCAACCGCAAGGTTCTGAGCGCAGTGGGCACCGCTGGACCTCAACCT